CCTCCTGAACTTTCAAGTCCACTTTCCACACGTATGCCTGATAATGAGCAAGTCCAAATTAACACCCCTGCTGAGAAAGGCTGCACTAACTCCATGCTGACACACAAAATTCAGAGATTCACTGAATGTGCTGGCACTTGTGGAATGAATTCCTCTCTTCCTCACAATTACATCACAAAGCAAGAATCTATAATTACACCCAAACAACACAAATTATACAAAAGTATAAATACTATAAATTACACAAAATTTTAAGAAAAAACAAGCCCATAAGAGAATAATTTTCAAACCTGCATAGTCCTGATCATTGACAGAAGTTCCAGATGATATTAGTGATTTCACTAAAGACAAATCTCCTCTCATAGCAGCAATATGCAGTTGAGTTTCCCCTTTCACATTTCTCTTATATTTCATCTTTCTCCCAGCTCTTGTATTACAGGTACCAGGTAAAACTACCGCTTCTTTTCTGGTAGATAGGGAGGACTCTAAACACATATTGGGTGTTCATTAGGAACCATAAAAAATGTTTCATTATAAAGAAGAATTAAGCTTCATAACCCACTTGAGTATGTGCAAAACCATTGCCTTAATTATTCAATAATATGGACCACATAAAAATGTTAGAAGATACTGCATAGCAGTTCAGATAACAAAGAGATCCTGTGCAAAAGAATTTCCAGTTCAAGTCTACATGACTTAGCAAGGGTACAGCGAATTAGAGATCAATAAAGAAGGTAACAAGGGTGAAGTTTCATGCTGTATAGAGGTAGGCAGTATGTTACATTGCTCCATGGACTGCTTTCAAGTTATCAGGAACACCTGCTAAATACATGAAGTACACATATAAATGTATTTAAGGAACTACACAGAAGTGAAGACTTCACCATCACCTCTTTTTCACTCCTGATTCTGTGTCAGGGAAGAAACAGGTTTCTATGTAAGGTATTTTTACAGCTGTGATGTGACAAAGTCCTGTAGACTGATTACAAATCTTTGATTAATATCTGTTGACATAGCTGAAATACCTTTTATTTAAACCTGTACAAGATTGGATCCATAATTGTAATAAACTTGATTTAAACCTTCTCTTATCGGTTCACAAAGCAAATAACATCCACTCTGAATTTTATCATGTGATCATCAGATGGTTCCTAGTTCTGACACATCAGGTAACAGGCACAACAAATTGTAAGAGATACAAAGAAAAAAAAAAAACAGATCTAAAAAGTACTGATTCTGCTCGTAGAGTAAGGACAACCCCTCCTCCACACTGCTCCAAAAAGATTGAGTGTATAATCTTCAAAAGCTCTGCCATGCATGTTAGGGTTTTTTTTAACTCCTGCTTCTGCTTTTACAATACTGTGCTATCAGATTTTTTTTCAAAGGTCACTATGTTCTTTCTCTGATTTCCTGAAAATCTGTATTTCATGCAAAAACAAAATTGTAAGGTTTTAAGTAAGCATTCTGCAACCCTTATCCATGCTCTTGTTAATTATTCCTATCAACATTTAGTTGCTGCATCTCAAGCATTTCCTCTTCTCATCAGACAAGCTGTATTTGCTAATATTTTCAGTTATCAGTTCCGCTGCTGTCAAACATCTTCCATGACCTGACAGCCGTCTCTCTTCAGGCTCCTCTTGCCTCCGGAAAATACGCTTTTCAAAGTACTGAGCTTGTAATCCATGGCTGTTTGGAAGAACATGAAGGACATACTGTAACTATGTTAAAGGCAGACATACAGTGAGGAGAAATCCACACTAATTCTAAATTAGTTTGTTTAGCTACTGCTGCAGCTAGACTATGGCAGCATGGAGCTCACTGTAGGCTGCTGTAACGTGTCAGGATGTGTCCAGGTGGCCCTCTTTGCAACAGGGGTGCTTGGCCCACTCCACAGGGGCAACCAGGAGGACCAAAGACTGTCTTTTTGAATGAAAACTGAAATTCTAGAGCACACAAAAGGGCTCATGTTATTGAGATACTCCTCCAATTTGAGACCTACTTTTCTTAAGATAATGTATTCTGTTTTGTCTAAAAGCTTCTAGGTTTGAACTCCCAAAGCAATCATCCACTTTATGGTTCTTCCTTCTCTTCCTCCTTTGATTCATTGGAGAATATCCTAGAGACTGTTCAGAGATGTAGGAGGAAAAAAGACACACAACAGCCCATTAAGCTAATGACCCTGAGCAATCCTGACTGCAAGTGAACAGAAATAATTGCAAAGTTTTCCAGTTAAGTTGTCATGCACAAGAGTTTTCTTTATGGTTGTTAGGAAACATTTGCAAAAGTATAATGGGACATTGGTATTGAATCACAAAACACTGTTTCTCTGTACAATGCGTTGCCAGGTGGGTCATGAGGGGCAAAGATCAGGAAACTTGTCAAACAAAAAAATCCAGTCAGCACATTTACAAAGTTAGGATGGAGAGATGACAGTAACCAGCAATCAGACTAGATTAGGCTGCCATATTCCAACAACTTCAGGGATATCCTCCTTCAAAAAGATATTTGAATACTTAACATCTGAATACTTAACATTGGTCTGAGTCATTCCTTCCACAGACTGAACGGTAAGAAAAGAAGTAACCTGTTTGTACCTCCCTTCTGCATAAGCAGAACAGGAATGTTGAGGGCCTAGTAAGTGACCGACCGAAGATGAAAATGATATTGCATTTTTTTGGAAGAAAAAAAATTTTTTTCAAGAACAGAAAAATAAAAGGAAGACCACTGGGACACAGGAACAATCAGATGAGACACAAAAGCCAGTTAATGAAGAAAAGGCTTAGAACAGTAAAAAAATCTGAAAACCCCACAAGTCAGAAAACATTATCCCATCTTCCATTTTTTCATTCTGGTCTCCAAAGCTACTAATGCCTTCAGTTGTGCAAAGGGCTATACTCTGCCCGATACTATACATCACCTCTCCAACAGCACCATTCTCCTGGGATGAAAGAAATAATTAAATTTTAGCTCAATAAAATATTACCTCAAGAATCTCTTTTCAGGGAAGAAGTAATGTGTGAAATGCTATTCCAGAGGAGACCAAAATCTAAGACACATGTTTGGAATAAAGGGGTTTTTTAAGACTGTATACATAGGAGGCAAAAAATATAAAGAAAAAAAGTTAAAAAAATTAATAATACACACAGGCCTTATTATAAACATTGAGCAGGA